TTATGCATTATTATTTGTACATTTGCCCAAAAGCAGTCAAAATGACTTCCTTGGGCAATCTAGTGTTAAATTTATAATTATTTAGAAATAATATATTTCGTTTACAATATTTGGTTTTAAAATTAATTAAAACAGTTTGTTGATACTGGGGTTATCATCAGAGCTATTACGTTACATCTTGCATTTGTATACTTTTTATTGTATATCTTAAATAATATCCTCGAAGTTAAAATTATTTCAACTTTAAAATATTCTTAAATTATGTATTTAAGAATTATACAAAATTACAAAATTCTGTCATTGTTTCATTCATATTCTTTTTATAAATGAAATAAAAACTTTGTCATTCGACGTACGAATTCAAGATGTGATAACTTATTTCATATTCACGCAAAATTTCTAAAATTTTGTACAGCGTTTCATTAATGTAATATCTAACAACTGTTGAAATTTCAATGCTCTGTCACTGTTGTTATGTAAGGGTTCATACAATCTTAAAAAGAATCTCGATGACAATTCTTATATCTAACGACAAGCAGAGGAGCGAGTGAGTTATCTCCACAATTCCTACCGCAGAGCGTTTAATCAGTGAATTACCGGGATTGCTACATTACGTGACCATTTATGAAAGGCCGACTCGAGGTACACGTAAGCCGACTAATAAGTATTTACGACGTGCTACCCCTTGGTCGAGCAGAAAATCAGATTAAGTTATTACCAAGCACTAGAAAAAGAAAGATCTAAATATCCTCCCACGAAAACTATATTATTCCTTAACCATGCTGAATCTCCTACCATAGAATATAGATTTTTTCAAGACCGATTTACCTGATAAAAAAACAGCTTCAAATCGTCGTCATAGCACGTCGTACATTATTACCGAACTAATGGGACGAGTAGTAATTTTGGGGACACGCCTGTCGCGTGACAGGCGACAGATAATGTTACAAGTAGAAGAGACGAATCCATAAGGAGACAATATTAACGCGAGGGTATCATCAGCGAACGAGCCAAAACAAATTTCATCGACTCGTCAGAGGGGAGGATAACTCGTTTTCTCGGTAACCGCCTCGCCGGCTTCCTTCTGGCCCGCGTTACACGCACCAGCTATTATTCTCCGTAGCCGACGTCGAATAAATCAGGCGCGTCCCCGTAGTACGCGGCATAAGCGAAAAAAGGGGAAAGGAGAGGAACAAGGGGACAAACTTCGCGCGGCATTTAGAGTTCGTTGCGTGAGTACATTCCCCGTGTCAAGTCCTCCCCTTGGGTCGCAACCGCGCGCCGCGGACCGCGGCTGAAATAAGAGCACCGAGAACGGTAATTGAAAGCGGGTTATAAAATCGTCGAGTCACGCATTCCTACCGAGAACCTCCTCCTCGGAGACCTTGCAGAAGGTCGGGGCTGCGGCACGAAAGGATAAGTCCGGTCCATTCAGAGATTTCGTAACACGCCGCTCGTTAACCACTTGACCTCTTCGCTGTTTTCACTGCGAAACCGTTTAATCCGTTTCCTTAGTCGTTCTGAGGATTATCAATCGACGCTCGGGCATGCAAATTAATTTTGTAATTGATCATCCTGATCACGGCCGTCTTTAGTAAAAAGCAGGAACATACGTGATGGGGAAGCGAGCGTTTTGGAAGTTTTAAGTGGCGATGGAGAAGCCACGGCCAAAGACATAGCCCTCTTTATATGTATGTAATCCTGTATGCTTTGCGATCTCCTTTTCTTATATATGTATCATAAACAAGTATAGATAATTCAATATCTTCCACATATGATACGTTTGTAAAAAAAAGAAACTAACATGAAAAAATTTGTCAGGTCGATTCAGCCTAGGCGGTGGGGTAGGTTCTGTCCTTCTACATACTAAAGACGACCGTGCCCTGATCGTTCTAATTACGAAGATACCAGTTTGTTTGCAGACAATCTTGACTACTTCTTATTGCGTGAAACTATTAACGTAATGGTTTCAAATTGGAACGATTTTCTCGTTTACTCCTGTTTACATGTTAAACGTGTCGAGCGTTTGTTTAACTTGCTCGCTGCTGCCTGTCACGAGACCAAGTAATTAAAATTAATCAATGTATCTGTACGAGTTCCGCAGGAGTCCTCGCGTTCTAATTGAACGCAATCAGCGTGCGAGTGGACGATTTAAGGGGTAATTGTGGTCCATTCGGTGCGCCGCGATTAAACGCGGGGATGATCGTTACGCGATACCTCGTTATTATCGGCGTCGGGTTTCTTTTGCTTGACAAAGTAAACTGCTGTCAGTAAGGTAAACCGGTTACCTTTTCCCTGGACGATGGTGCAGTCGGGAGGTAACAGTAACCTGTGTTATCAGCGCGTGGTCTTATTTCACCTGTCCTCTCCGCCATTCACGTTTTGACGAGGTGCTCCATCTAACTTCGCGCCGCGCCGTTCCGCGAACGATTCTGCATTAAATTTCTCTTGATTCCCTCCCGGAGGAACACCCTACTCGTCCTCTCTTCCTTTTTTTTTTTTTACTTCCCTGACATCAGCACTTTTCAACGTGCTGGACACGCAATCTCTCGTTTCTTCATGCCCCTTTTTTTGTACCCGTCGAGATTGAAAAAAGAGCTTCGTACCCTCTCCGGTGATGCTTGAGAAAAATCCTTAACACCCATCATCATTTGAAGAAATCTTTCAACATTGTGTCATAGCCGTTCGTAACAAATGATACTTCATCTACGTGCTATTAAATTTTTTTCATTAAATTACTCCACGCGGTTTTCTACAGGAAATACTGTGAAGATTATTTCCATATCTTGAGGCCATTTAAGATTGTGTGAGCCCTTAAAGAAAAACAAT